TATATATATATATATATAGTTTTTTTTGTCTCCAAATGAGAAATATTCATACCCTTAGTTTTGTCCCTATCCTCTCACAGTTCATTTTATCAGAAATTTCAGAGAGTAAATAAGCGATTCCCAACATTAATTGTACTACTACTTCTCATGATTGTGTAACTTCATTCAGATTTTTAAAATTATTATTTTCATTACCTTTTTAGATCTTCAGACCTATTTTCAAGCTGAAATGAATCGTTCATAATCACAAAGCTTGCACTTGCATTTAGGAACCTTTGAATTACCCGACTTCTGCCTAATTAAATTCTGATATCTCAAGTATATTATATTAGGCAGAAGTAGATTCAGTATTTGTTTCTGCAAAGCTTAAAGAAAAATTTTAAAAATTTCCAAAAAATAATACAGTATATTGCTCAAGAACAAATCAAGATATTGTTCAACTCAAAATAAAATGTAGATATGTGAAAAATATAATTTGAAATGAGCAATTGAATCAAAATGTTTATTAAATTTAAAAAGTTTTTACACCGTTGGTAGAGTTTGAGTTATACTAAACTGTTTGTTGGTGGACTTTTGCTACCAATAGAATGAAGGGAATTCTCATTGCTCGTATTAATGACCAGTGTAAAAATATCTTTAGTTCCAGATCCAGAACATAAAAAGCCTACAGACTATGTCACTGGTCTATTCCGGCTGGATGTTGCTTTAAGACCTAGAAGTGCTTTGGCTCCTTCACTTCGGAATTCATCTCCTAACAATTCAGACTCTTCTAGTGCAACTGGTCAACTAACTGTGGAAGACAACAAGAAAGAGTATGTGGAAAACCTATTTTGAAAATTACATTCATATATCAGCATAGGTGTGTGCAATCTAAAACGAGAGGGGAATCCAAACTACATTTGTAGTCCCCTGTGAGCCCCTTTTACCATTAAATATTTTTATTTACATTAGTCATATTTTACTAGGAAATAAATATAAAAAAAGAGAATAAAATTAGTATATTAATATTTTTTAATGATACAATAAAATAGATTTTATGTTGAACAATTTACAAGTAGCCACATGGTTTGGAGAGCCTCTTCACTAAATATAATGTATCAGTTCCCCAAATTGCCAGCATAAAAAGGGAAAGAAATAAATTAATCATATTTAGGTTAATTTAGGTTTTATTACTTCAGAGTATGGGATCCCTTTTGAACCGGCCCCCGCACACAGCTATATTTAACATACTTTTTGATACTATCTTCACCTGAATTGAAATTACGTTCATGTAATTATTTAATTCAATGTGATGTGTATTAAATATGCAATTGAACTGTTTACAATGGTTCAGAATTTGAAAGTCTTTAAGAAACTACAATGAAATACTACTGTTGATATCTTTGCAAATTTGAAATTGGTAACTTATACTTCAATTTCTTATATTTTTAGGGATACAACAACAAGTTCAGTTAGTCCTTTGCCTGCAAATTCTAAATATTTCACGATCTCAGAATCCAAAGCGAAGTTCCTGAATCGATATGTGCGTGACATTGGTCAGCTCAATGGAGTTCATGACAATAAAGACCTTCACCAAAAAAAGGTAATTTCTTTTTTAAACTAAGTATATAGTAGTTGAAAGTGTAAATTTATTTATTTCTCTAATTATCAGTTGTTAATATAATTCTCTTTTTAGTTTATTTACATTTAAGTTCATTTATTTTTTTGGGTATAAAAAAATTGATTCCAATGAAAGATGTTTACTGTTAAGATTTACTCTTAACTTTCAAACTTGGTTCTTCATTAAGAGTAGTTAATCAAAAATACTAAATGTTTATTGCATCTAAATTGTTCATTTATTGTTCTAAATGAATTATTATAATAAGAGGATAATACTTTTGCATATTCAGAAAAAATGTTTATCTTCACAGTTACAGAATAGGAGAACATACTTTTCTTTTTAAGTTTTTTGTTTTAACATTTCACTGTTACTTATTAAACGTTAACACCTTTTTTTCTAGGAGGAACTGGTTAGCAGGTTAGATCGCAAACTTGAAGTTTTGCGAGAAGAACGTCTGCTCGTCAGTGAAGAGAGCCGGGTGAATGAAGAACTTGGAGCGAGTGTAGCAGCGCAAGTGAGCAGGCTTGCACACCCACATGAGGCAGCTAAATATCGCCTACATGTTGAAGAAGTGGGGAAAATTACGAGCTTATTGCTAGCCCTCTCTGGTCGTTTGGCACGTGCTGAAAATGCTCTCATGGGTCTGCCCTTGAATCATGCTGAAAGAGTAAGTGAGCTTTGGAAAATAATTATTCCATTCATTATCAAATCTACCATTACATTTTAAAATCAAGATACATTTTGAACAACAATGTTGGCAGATGAATCAAATATAAATCAACTAAATTTGATGACCTGCTGAAGCTGCTGCAAATAATATTCATTTACTGTTTTATTTTTAATACTGATTTCTGAGTAAATAAATATAAAGATTCAGGTTTAAAAAAACAAACAAAAAGATGTGAAATTCAAGTACATTTTTAGGAATTTTAGTTTTGAAAACTATGTGATATAGTTAACTTCTACATTAAAATGGTCTTAGGTTTTCCTTTTATGATAATTCACATTCATTATAGCTTTTTCATTTTTTCAGAAAATATTGGAGAGCAAGAGAGATAAACTACGAGAACAGTTGGAAGAAGCCAAGAAATTAAAGGAGAACATTGATCGGCGAAGTATTAGTGTGTCCAACATACTATACAAATATTTCAATTCTGAAGAATATGCAGATTATGATCATTTCATCAACATGAAAGCAAAGCTTATAATGGACTCTCGGGAAATAGCTGATAAAATTAAATTAGGAGAAGAGCAGTTGGCAGCACTCAGAGAAACATTACATACACCTAGTGACTGTTAGATCTGATTGTTGTATTTTTGTATTACTGTGTTAAATAATAAGTGGCTCATCTGATAGATCAACAGTCAGAATAGTCTATTACATGTATGTAATTAGTTTCTGAATGCTGTTTCATCAAATAGACTGTGTAAATATGTGTATAATTTTGATTTCCTACTGCTTGTTAGCCAGCTGGAGCTTCAAAGTCAGCTGGTGTTTTGGGTGCCTAGTCTTTTGCTGTTGAGAAAGTGAGAAAGAAGTTAAATGTATGTATGAATGTGTAAATGTTTGGTTTTTCATACCAGCAACACAAGGTTTGATGAAGTTTTGTTAATAAATTTGATCAAATGAACAAATGTTAATTTTTTTAAAACAAGAAATAAGGTCAGATAAACAGCTTCAAAATGTTTTTTGACATCTGATTTTGCTTCTTGAAGTTGTAAAAGAAATATTTTGATATAATTTTCTGTAAAAAAAAAAACAAAAAAAAATTATTGCTTTGATTCTCATAGAGTTCTGTTGTGAATACTTGTATTAATTTTTCATTACAATCTATGGAATCTGAACTTGAGCATTACCATAAAATGCTTTGAAATCCTTACAGGAAGATCTAAGAAACTCAACAAACATAGAAACCTCAAAATGGAGAATACAATTTTTTTTGTGTGTGTATTACTATAAGTATGAGTACATTTGGAAATTATTCTGATAAGAAGAAGAGGTAATATCGGTCCATGAATAAGTCTATTTTTATTTGCAGAAGCATGTTTTGTGATGTTAAAGAATAAATACAATTTAGTTGTAATAATCCACTTGCCATATTTAACCAGTCATATATGTAGTGAATGGCAATTCAAAATCTGTTTTAAGTGAACTATGTAATGTTAAAGGTTTACATGACAGACTCTGAGCTGGAGGTAAACACAACTTGCATGTGCTTGACAACATACACAGTTCTCTCAAACTTATGTTTGCCAACTAGTTGACAACATGCCTCATTTTGTACTTTTTCTCTTCAGTTGCATCATATTTTTATCATCTTGCTGTTGACTGACATGTATTGTGTACTTAAATAGTGTGAATTATTTTAATAGTAATGCCCATTTTCTCTTAAAGAATGCATTCAAAATTTGTTGAGCAGGGAATTTGTCAAAAGGACTCTTATCAAGTCGTATCTAAGATTTCGACCTGATTCAGGAGCCCAGTGCTCTCGCACCAAATCTTCAACAAAATTAACCTCTTGCCATTTGGAAATATGGTTATTTTAATTCTTTTCAACAGGATATTTGTTTTCAAATACAGTGTGTATTATACTGTGTGTAATCCTGTTGATGCTAGTGAAAAAGAGGATATTCAATACTTTTGTAAAATCAATTTTTTGCAAACACTGAAGCAGATACTACAAGTACAAAGATAAATTCATTTTGGTTTAGGTTCTCCATCAAAACTTTCTTTTTTAACCAATCAAACACTGTACTGACGTATTGTAGTTCCCATTTTGGAAATTTTGTAATATACCAAATGGCTAAGACGGTGGGTTCTAAGAGGGGATTTTGTGGAATGAAAACTTGTAAATTTTAAATTGTGGGTTACTTGTAAATTTTGTAACTTGTAAATTGTAACTTGTAACTTGTAAATTTTAAATTGTTAAATTGTTAATTCATAGTTATATGATGCAGATAGAAGAGCTCCAATTATTGAATTAAACAGGCATTTGGCAAATTGGAAATTTTTTTGACTGGATAAAGCTCTGAAATTAATTAAAGAAGCTATTAGATAGAAAAAAAATTAATTTATTTGTGAAATTAAAATTAACCAACAAAGGTTCAGGAAACTGTAAATACAATAATATTTACATAAGAAAGACGCTACAAATTAATTATTAAAGGAGATTCATCACAGAAGTATTAAAATTGCAACCAAACCATTCAATACCTGTTTTTTCTGAAATATTTCAAAACGTATGTGTTGCTTTGAAGAATTAACTCTCTTCCAAGCAGCAAGAAACTAAATATTTTCCTATTTTTGAAAGCTTTCATTTTTTCTTCTAATATTAATTCATATAATTGGAGTTCTACTGTGAATGAAATATTTTCAATTAAACATTATTCCAAAGTAACCTAAAAGAAAGATGTTAACGCAGCTTTACGGATAATTGCACTTTTCAAAAAGGTTAATATTGTGCTTAAAAGACAAAATCAAAAAATTAGGCAACATTGTATTTGTCCCAGAAAATTGTGAGTTATAATAAATGGCTTGCTCTTTACAACAGTTTTGAGTTTACAGCCACAATGCTACTTCTGAGCATAATTTTATAAAGTTAAGTAATACATTTGTTCATTGAGCACTTTAAACATGAATTTTCCCAGGCTTCATTAGAATGACTTACACTTTATGTAGCAATTCATAGTTTGCTCATGCATACAGATAATCATTTAAGTTAGAATATGTATCTATGTTGTATGCGTGTGTTTGTTTGTTATGCAAGACTGAAATTCGCCTATGCTTTGAGAATGTTGAAAATGGTTGTAAAAACCTCTATAAAGAATAATCTGTTTAAACATTCTATAACTTTTTAAATTGAGTATGTTATTATACATTCATTTCTGTAAATATAACAGCAAGAATAGAATGGTGCTTCAAATGTTTCTCCATTGTGCATAATATATCAAAGTTTCTGACTATGTGAATTGTCTTGTTCTTTTAGAAAAATTCCTTTCCAAACATTCTGAATGATTCTGCCAACACCAGTCCAAAATCACTTCACTCTTTAACAGAAGCATAACAGAAGATGTCTTCATTTCCCATTATCACAGAAAATCCTCTGTAGTAAAAGTTTTGAGACTTCAGAAGACCCATCAGTGCCCTAGCTCCCATGCTTCAGTAAAGATAACATGAAGAGATTAATTTTAAATTTTTAGTAGATTCATACAAAGTGACAAAAAAATATATATTATCACACAAATTCCAAGGAGAGTAGGTTTCTCAAAAACACTGAAAATATTTTTGTGTCTACCCTAGACATGATTAGGACTTAGAAATTATTGGATTGGTTTTCATTTTCCACTTCCATCGTGAATTTCTTGGTTGAGTGCCTGAAGTTAAGAAATTCAAGTTGTCTTGTTGTGCCTGTCATTAGAGCTAGAATGTCCTTGCAGACATTTTCATGGTCAATTTGAAACTAAACATCCCTTTCTACAAAAACTAACATACTTGTATTGTTACATCAGTGACACACTAGCTCTATGAACTGACAACTTCACTTCATCAAGTTTCATAACTCCAGGCACCATCCATAAAATTCACTTCAGAATTGCAAAATGAAAACAAATCCATTAATTTCTTAGGCCTAACCATCTCTAGGGTAGACAACAAAAACATTTTCAATGTTTTTAGAAAACCCACACATGGACACACCCAGTAACAACACATCCCAACATCCAAATGCTCACAGACACGCTGTTTTCCATGTCATGATTCACAGACTTGTCAGCCTCTCGTTTATCATAAGCCAATTTTCAAAACAAAACTAACATTATCAAATACATAGCCACCACCAAAGGATACAGTGTCACTCTCACTGACATACCAGGTGCCTCCAGAGAAAACCAGGGGCCAGGGGGAAATGATCCAAGGGGACCCCTTATTTCAAATTTAAAAAATTCTCTCCCCCCAATTAATTAAAATAATTCATTTTTCCATGCGTCAGAAATAATTTAGAGCTTTAAATGAAAATTAGAGAGAGAAAAAAAATTCAATTACATTTGAATGAAAAAACATTGATTTTCACTGTTCACTCTGAATTTTTTGAAAATCAGGAAAGTCTTTCTTCGGCGTCTTCATACAACTACAACATTGAAGATAGGTAGTTTTTTTCTTCAAGTACAATTTGTTCTTAACAATTAATTCTTTAATTAATTGCATGCAGAGGCGGCTAGACAAAATTAATAGATGAAGATACGCTCACCAATTAATTATTTAAGAATGATAATTTAAATTTATTTTCCTTGTCACGCACTACAGGTACATTGGTTTTAATAAAAACGTGAGTGTATTTTTGAATAGCACGTGCTCGAGCGTTAAAACTCCCGAAGGAGCCGGATGACAGCGTCACCGACCACGCTGGTAGTTGAAGTGAAGTAAGCCGCCTTTTCACGCGTTTCAACTTCCAGAGTGCGGCCATAGATTAACACCATGTACTCATCTATGGGGTGGCTAAGGCCACCTAAAGTACAGGCCGGCATGTGAAGATTTGGCAATGCTGTCGGTCAGTCTGATGCAAATTCGAATGAGCCTGCTACAGACCCAGACACCCGCGGGAGTTATTTGAGTATTAATTATTGATAAAATGGTCATAATTCTGAATTTAATGTAAAATTCAAAGCCGTAAACATGTCTTACTTCTTGTTTGATGTCAATCATGTTGAAATTATTATAAATCAATATGTTCTAAAAAAGTACCAATTAAACTTAACTTAAAACCAAATTTAAAAAAACAAATGTGGAACTATAAAGATCACAATTTAGACTACAAGTTTTTTACGAAGTTTTATAGAAATTCACTTCATATTTCTACGAACAATCCTAGATATTTAAAACTATGTTCTAGAAACAGCTTTAAGGCTGTCAGACAAGGACTAGTATGTTTAAGAAGAAGTATTATCTTTGGCTTCACTCCATTGAAACACGAATCATGGAGATTTGGAATTGAAAATTAAAACGTGTTCTGTACTCATGGCAGATGATGCTAGGATATTGTAATATTTATACTTAACAATTTTCACAAATGTAATAGCATAAAACACTTTTATAAACATCTTTCCAAAATCGGGATTGATGCTTCAGAAAAAGCTCTGCTTTTGAGTCATCGAAGGAATCTGATTTATTATTTATTAAAAACAGCAAAAAATATGTGACTGGGTACAAATGTTATTTTCAAGATGAAGAATAATCCAGTAGATGCATATTGGATTTACAAAGAGTTACTAAATTTGTTTCAGAAATTTCACAATTATTCGTTTTAAGTACTTGAAAAACTAGTTATGAATGCCATCTTACAACGTTTCGAGTAACAAGTGTACTAGTATTTCACTATACTCTCATGAGACAAGAACTGATGAGAACATAAACCGTCGCGCTTGCGGTGGATGATTTGGGAACTAAACCGTAATCGTTTGTGCTACTTAATTCCACGTTGTTTTGTCGTAAAATTTCAGACGTATTGTATATTTAAAAACATATGAGAATTGTCAGAAACATAATAAACATTTTAAACAAATCTAAATATGTATATAAAATTACGACATTTTTGTTGGAATTTCGGGCGGAAAAATTCTAAGAGCTAAAGAAATGTACTATGAGGAACTAAAATAATGAAATTTCTCAACGGCGTTGAATTCTAATGTTGCAACATGATTTGTAAAATATAAAAATGGCACACGATTTCATTCAGAGGTATACAAAATTAATTGATGAGATGGACCTTCAAATAAGTCTAAATGTTTGTGCTGAACATTGTGTGTGATATATTTGTAACCGTAACATAATAATTTTAATCCGAGTTTTGAATAACATTTTTCTGAATTGAGGAACTGAAATTGTCCTCTTGGCGCCACATTTTCAACCATATTTTGGCGCGCATCACTTCGGTCGGTTGAGCCATAATATTTGTGGCGCGATAGATGGCGACTCTAGCAGTCCCATTTAACACCAAAATCCGAGCATGGAGTGTAGTGTGTCTTTGTGATTAGGAGAGGTTAATGTAGTTTTAACTCTTTTTGTTGGTTTTTGCTACTTGTTTCCCAATTTATTTTACACAATGGGTGCTTACCGATCTAAACCGATCACGGACAAAGTTTCGAGTGATGAATCAGGGAAATATGTGAAATGTGGTGCTAGTTCAATGCAAGGATGGCGAGTTACTCAAGAGGTAATATTTTTTATGTTAGAAAGATTTAAACTTGCTTAAGCTTCGGTCGAAGCTGAGATGATACATTTAATTGGATTTCAGGTCTCTCTAGCTCACTTTATTATTATTCGAGTGTTGAATATTCAGTAGTTCAAATATTAATATCTGCTAATAGTTTTAATGACAAATTAAAACTACTTCTTAGATTTAATTTTAAAATCTGATCAGTACAATATAAGTTTCAAAGAATTTTAAGGTCTTGTAGATTGTAACCCATGTGGTGTGGCAGACATGCTTTCTTCTTTTAGAGATACTTGAACATGTATTGTTTCTTTCAACAGAAAATATAATAAACTTTAAAGTTTCTGGGCACAGATTTTATGCAGTTACAGTGGAAGACATGTTTTGCTTGTTAAATTTACTTATTTTTATGTATGATACGTTCTTTCTTTTTGTTAACTAGGTTATAAACTATGTTTATATAAGAGGCTCCACAATCTAAAACCATTTCAGAATTTTGAAAAGGATTTTTAAGCTTTAATTAAAATGTCATTTATTATTTAAAAATTGTTAATATTGTAATGATAGAATGTCATATTGATATTGTTTTGTACCTAATATAAAATTAAAATAAAATCTTGTAATATTTTTAAAATGCCTGATAATGTTTTCTTTTGCAGGATTCTCACAATTGTATAATAGAATTTGATGAGAACACATCTTTATTTGCTGTATACGATGGACATGGAGGTCATGAGGTTGCCCAGTATTGTTCCGAAAATTTGCCACAGTATTTGAAGGAATGCATTTCATATAAGAGTGGAGAGTATACTAAGGCTCTCAAGGAAGCGTTCTTGGGCTTTGATGCCACTCTTGTAGACCCCAAAGTTGTGAAAGTGTTGAACAACATAGTGAAGAGTGCTGACGAAGAAGTGGAAGAAAGTGAGAATCAAAATTCAGGATCAGGTAAAAGCAGCTGAAGTTTATCTAAATAAAATGAAGTGTTGCTGTGTAGTTGTTTATAACCTCGCAATGTAATATTTGATTTGACATGGTAGGGTGCACCAATGGTAGGAGGAATAGGTTCTTTTTGGAGAGTTGTAACTGAGCCAGGTGGGGCTGAAGTCTAGTGTAAAGAACAACTTACAGAAGTCATTTAAACCGACACTTTGCGCATCTCCGGTGGCAACTGTTCTGTTTAAATTCTGGAGGTTTTCTTAAAAAGTGCTTTCTATAAAAGTGAATTGGTAATTATGTGAGGGATAGACTCAAGGATGTTTGTAGTGTATGCAAGGGCCGAAGGCCCGAGCCTTTCCGTGACTTGGATCCTGGCCAGCAAAGCAAGAAGACTTGCCTTTGAAAGTCAGTTGCCATTACAATGTGGCAGGGAAAAAGCGTATAATGGGTGAGCCATGAAAATCACCTTCCTTAAGTTTTATTCATTTCTATCAGAGTGTGTAGCGTAATTTGAGGGAATGCTTAAGGAGACCCCTGCCCCGCCGCCTCCCTTTTCTAAGGGTGTACAGTATACCCTACTTTTCAACCCAAGGGATGATCTAACCTACACCGAGAAGCCCTGTGCGTCACACTGTTTTTGAAATTATGAACAAAGTGGATGGTAAGAAAAGTAACAAATTAGTAAACTAGATGGTAGTTGTCCAGTGTTACTAGCATATAGTGTTACAAGGATATTCTTACAAATTTACAGTATTAATTGCATGCTTACTGTGGGACTTGGTTCTTATTGTAGCCCAAAGCACGAGCGTTTGGTTTTATCTTGTTACCTACATGGAATGGATGAATTACTTCGGCTGTTTTTAATTTGTGGTCCATCATGTGCAGCTTCAATTGCAAATATTAGCCCTTTGTGTTAGTATGACAAGTGAGGTTTGACATTGTTTTCTTTCTTTACTGAATTTCAACAGGTTGTGAACATTTGCAATGTAAACAATTGGTAGATGTCTATCATGCCCAACATGGTATCATTTGTTATTGTTAGTCTATGTATTAGGCAACTTATTGGGTAAACATATGTTGATATAAACTAAACAGATGTCTTGTATGTCTTGTTTAACACTATGACTACAGCACAACTAGCCAAGGAGGATGAGCAAGTATGATTTCTGGTGTGCTTTCCCAAAAACGTTTGTAAGCAAATGGCATGTGTGAATAATGCCAAAGTAAATCATGTTTGTTGTTCTATTATTTCTGTGTAAGACACCTTAATAGATTATTAACTTGTAATGTGAATCAAACTTGCTTTTACTCTTTCTTGCCTGTAATGATTCGAGATAAACGTTTGAAAGTTGTTGCAAGCATCAGGGTAGCGTTTCAGTAGGATTTAAATAAAGAGCTGATGGAGAAGCAAAATGATAAGAATTGGAAATGCTAAGGGTTAATGTCCGATGATCCCTGTAAATTCCAAGTCCCTCATCATTTCTAGAGGTCAGTTATGCTAGTTAATCAAAAAGTACTATTTTGAAATTATTTTTGCAAATTCAAAAGAGTAAAATTTTCAAAAACATAAATATACAATCGAAGATTCCTCCACAAGTGGAATAAATAAGAGTAGGTGCCATTGAAATATTCATGAAATTATTCGGAAACATGTTATATTAATTAAAATTCACAGTGAGCATTGATTTGAGTTTATCGCTTAACAGTTTTATTTATTTACATTTGGACCTGAAAATTGATTGCAAATAATAGTTTTCTGAGAATGGAGGTAAATAAAGATTTGCCATTTAATTTGGAAGTAATGAAACAAGGTGCACTAGGCAATTTGACTGAGATAAAACTGATGAAAGGATTAGTTGTTTTTTATTTCTGTCAAAGTTGTTTTATCTCTTTATCTGCCTTAAATACTATTTCTTATGAATACATGTTCTTGATAAATTTGGTGCTGTTTATTTTGCAGAAGATGAAGAAAATATTCGAAATCTGTATGAAGAGGCTCAAATGCCTCTTGAAGAGGTGATGGCAAAGTACCAGACAGACGGTCTTAATCCAGCGTTGAAGAAGCTCAAAGGAGGGACACCTCCATCTCCGTACCTTGTTGCCAAACAATCTAGTAAGACCAAGTTTGCTGAAGAGGCAGGTTCCTCTAAGGCTGGGAGCAGCAGCAGTAGCAGTAGTAGTACGAGCAGTGGGGGAGTGGAGCCTGTGGAAGAAAGTAGCAGTGAGAGTGCTGAGAAAGAGGAAGGAGTAGACTTGAAACAAAGTAAAAGTGAAGGCAAAGAAAAAGTACTAGACCCGAGCGAAGACTCAAATGGTGAAAAGGCACCTGCAGTAGACAGTAGTAAAGAGACAAATGGTGATGAGACCTCTGAAAAAGATCCTATCTCCAGCAGTGGCAGTTCTAAAGAGAAAAGTGAAGACACTGGCAGTGAAAAGACACCTCAGAAAAGTAAAGACAATAATGAAGAGAATGCAAGTAAAGAGGTAAAAAGTGAAAGTGAAAAAGAAGAGGAAAAAGGATTGAATGATGAACCTAAAGTAGAGAAAAAGCAAACTGATAATCATTTGAAGAAAGAGGAGGAAAGTGGCAAACAAGAAACAAAAGAGGGGGAAAAGGAGAAGAAATCACCTATTAAGAAACTGGAAGTGAATGGAGATGTTGAGCCAAAAGATCTGAAAAAAGAAACAGAAAATGAACCTCATGAAAATGGAGATGTTGCCGAAGAAGAAACTGAGGATGATGATGAGAATGAAAAAGAAACAACCAAATCTCGAAAAGGGAAAGGAAAGGCAATAATAAAAAAGTCTGAAAAACCCAAGAGAACATCTGCTCGTCAAAGAAACATGGCTATCTTGTTCCGCTCTTTCCTTGCTGCTCAAGATAGTGCAGATAGTGAATCGGATGATGAAGGAGATGAATCTTTCCAAGGAGCAGAAGAAAGGTATTGATGTTATTCATGTAGTGCAGAGTATTTGTTGCTACATATATTTATTTCAAACTGTAAATGTGTATTAAATGGCTTTCATATATAATTAATTTTCACTATTTGCAGAAGTAGTAGTGAAGATGAAGACAAGGAAGAAGCAGAAGCTGAAGGGGAAGATGAAGAGGAGGAGGGCGTAGAGGTGGAAGATGGGGAAGAAGAAGAAGACGAGGAGGAGGAGGAGGAAGAATTTGAAGAAGATGATCTTCCGAAGATAGCAAAAGGGGTAATTTTGTATTTATATTTATTTCAGTGCTGCCTGTGTTTATATGTATTTGAAAATGTTCTGCATTTTTAACTAAAATTTATATTTTATTTATTAAAGAATTTTGAACAGCCTGGCGTTGAGAGTGGATGCACAGCTGTAGTCGCATTGCTTCATGGGCGTGATCTGTACGTTGCTAATGCCGGTGATTCACGATGTATTGTCAGTCGTGGTGGAGAGGCTCTGGATATGAGTTTGGATCACAAACCTGAAGATGACATTGAGATTGAACGAATTGTTGCGGCTGGAGGATTTGTCTCATGTGATGGAAGAGTGAATGGTGGACTTAATTTATCTCGAGCAATTGGTAAATAAGAAACTTAGTTTTTGTGATAATTACTATGCGTTTTGAAATATGAGACCATTTTATTCCTTATAAATGGTGTGATCACTGGTTGTGTTCCATGACTAATGCAGAGAAATTTATCTGTAGGTGGTTATGTACAAAATTGTTTGGTTTAGAGGGTGGCCAAACATTTTCTACTCAACCTACATTCATTATTTGCAAACTGTTTTGTCAATGAAACAGGAACAAAAACTAGTGGTGTTACGAAATGGCACACTCTTTCTTGAACTAAGTACTTCCATTTTCATTTGAGTCATGACTACCTTTTCAATTTTTCCCAGCTCATTTCAGCTGCCATTTTATCACCATCTAAGGACCTAGCATGGTAACTACCACTCCCTTGGAAAATTTGCACTGAAGAACTCCATTGAGCTTCCTGTACAAAACACATGGGTAGCCCTTGCATCCATGATGTGTACTGTTACTTATGTAGCCATGGTGGCTTGTAGCCATATTTTGGTGCTAGAACATTGGGTGTGGGGTGCCAGTTTCCAAATTACATACCACAGACAGATTGCACAGATATCTCACTACAGTTCAGGACAAGGAATTACTGAAGGATTAGTGATGTGATAACCTGAGTACTCCCATGACACAAACACAACTGTTAATATTCATGCTTTTGGTGAGTTTCACTCCAATTTTCGCATTGTCTGCATACTTGGGCACACTTACCGAACCTCTGTGGTACAAGACTAGCTGAATTGAGCATACTAATTGTGTGTTGTAGTTATGTATAAGTGATGTATTGGTTGCCCATAGCGTTGTCACCCATGGCTTATAACATTGGGCCATACGAATAAAAATGAGCACTTGCTTCAAAGTACTTGCTCCGGAGCAAAGTCAGCCTACTCCGTGGCACTGAGCAAAAGCTCCATTTCATACGAATAAAAACTTTGTATGGCTCTGAAGAACTTGCTCATGTCTTGCGAGCATTTGCTCCTTTTGAACAAGTGATAGTGCAGGCTAAGAGTTTTAAAAATTGGTTTGTTGAGTAACAAAGAGATTACATTCTTTACATGAGACACACACACACGTTTGTGCAGAGCAAAGAGCAATATTTTGTTGTCTTGTTCTCTAAGTTCGTATATGAGTAGCAGTAACGAAGATCAGGCGTCAGAGGCCCAGCTATTTTTTGCCGAAATGATGAGGGAATATAAAATTATTTTAGAAAAGAGCCAGTTTCCAGAGGTATGCTGTGGCCAAAACGAATCATTACAAAGTTTGTAAAAACAGTGCACCGTAAAATTCAGAGTAGAAAAGAGCAATGGCCAATGAACATAAAGATATGCAATGTAAAAAAGCGTCTGGAAGCAAATGCCAATAAAAATCTTACCAAACATGCATTGTCCTTTTCGAATTGGTAAAGATTCTAATTGTCTACATCACAAGAATTTCACCTTATTTTGTGATTTTTTAGTCCGCTGCATCTGTGTATCAACACATGGTAAAAAATCTACCAATTTAACCTTACTTTTAAAAAGGTCTCCTACTAAGGTCCCCTCGAAGTTATGGAGCAAGTGCTCAATTTAGAGAGTGAATGCTTAACTTTATTCACACCAATTTTGAGCGTTTGCTCGCCAGTTGAGAGAATGATCAGAGATAGAGCAAGCGCTCAGAGACTGGGCAATTGCTCACACTTTTATTTATATGAAACTGAGAAGGGTCTCCGAACTCGTAGCAAAGAGCAATTGCTTACTTTTATTTATTGAAACTTCATATCTCCCATTGAAACTTCGTATCTCAATGATATTTGATTCTGTTTTTTGTATTAGCAATAATGTTAACAAAGTTACTGCAGGTTAAAAAATTATCAACCATCTTACTAACAAAATATTTTTTTAAAAATTAATGACCTATACAGAAAATGTAGAATACTATATTTACAGATTGTTTGAATTAACACAGTGCTTTAAATTTCTTTCCTGTGATACTTGTCTTGAAGAAATTGAGTTTTATTAAGGATGCACATTTTCTCAATTTCTGTGGGCCTCTAATTGACACTTTTAGAATATAGAAGAGTAAAACCTGTATGAAAATTTTCCGGTTCAAATTTGGGGACTTTTTTGACAAAATAATTGAATTGTTTTTGAAAACAAGCAATTTTGTTTCATTTATTTGTGAAAACGTTTTGGATTTTGAAAATTACTTATAAAATATTTTAAACAATTGCATATATAATTTTTGAAAAATCAAAAGTTTAATGAAAACGGTGCTTTGGTCATGTGATTTAGTGCTTCATAATGTACAAAAAGTTGAAAGGAAGAATATGTGGCCACTTTTGTGTTTCTTCTAACGTTCCTCCATCTGTCCGACTGGTGTCTGTTAACACTATTAGTGCCTAAACTAATCTTTGTGATTTTGAAAAAGTTCTTTAAAATTTGGGGGTACTTTACATGAAGCCCTCTGAACATTTTTGAAATTTTCTCAAAAACGCCTCCAAATTTTTTTCTGACTTTCTTGTAAGAATAGGGGAACATAGACTTATAAAGGTGGCATAGGTTTAATTTTCACTGTTAACTGTGAATTTTTGAAAATTCCATAGTGTGAATTGTTGTCAGTGTCTTCCTACAAATACAAAAATGAAGATTAATTTCTTTCCTTCAAATCAAATTTGTTCTATGTAGTGAGGTCTTTTATTAAGGTTATGTAAATTTTTTTGAACCTTTTAGAAGTTTTCGCGCAATATAGCATGGAATATATGCAATTTTAAAAAAATTACAAAAACACGATTTTCTCAAAAGCGGCTCCAAATTTTTTCTTTAAACTTTTGTTAGGGCTAAATGAACATTATAAGATGACATAAATGCCAGATTGCTCTTTTTTCCCCTTTTTTTTCAAAAATTACAAAAATGTAATTTTTTGACTTTCCTCTCGTGTCTTTAATACTTATATTAGCGGCAATTTGTTCACATAGTTGTATTTATGAGTATGTGTGCTTTAAGTAATGTCACATAAAGTTTCTCAAAATCTCTACCATTTACATTTTCAGAAACAATGCCTTTTCTCAAAAATTGCTCCCAATTTTTTTCTTCAAACATTTCAAATGGATAGTAATAATTGCACTCTTTAATATTATGTAAAGTTAATTTCGAATATTTTTTTTCTTTTTGTTAAATTGCCCAAATGTATATCTTTTTTGAAAGATTTCCAGCGGTTTATAACACTATTGTATTTCTGAGTTAAAGTACTTAAAATAACTTCCAATTAAGTGTTTTGAAAACTCAAAAATTTTCTGTGCAAAAAACTTCAAATTTACAGTAGCGCTTAATGCCAATTTTTTAAAACTGCTCTAAATTTGTCAAAGAAAATTGCCATTAGGATGAGTTTTTACTGTTTTTAATCATTTTAAGATAATTACAAGCTCTACAATTAGGAAATCGAAAAATGAGGAAAATGTAAAAAAAATGTACTTAGGGCAGCGATAGATTGCAACAGGCAAGAATATGTGGCAGAGTCGAATAGCTAACTGAGGCAAAAAGAAATAGAAAACTAATATGGGAAAGTTTGTGCCATTCTGTAGAACCACTATTTTGTTCTTAAACTTTTTCTTCAGTAATTTTTTTACCTGTTTTTGTAGCTCTTTTCCCATTTCCCTACTTTACAATACAATATTCACTGTGTTAATTGTATTGAATAGTGTTATTTTCTCTTTTTTAGGTGATCATGCTTACAAGCAGACAGAAAATTTACCCCCCGAGGAGCAAATGATAACTGCCCTTCCTGATGTTCGAACCCTCTCTATTGATACTGAAAAAGATGAGTTCATGGTTCTTGCTTGTGATGGTATTTGGAATTCCATGACTAGTCAAGAAGTTGTGAACTTTGTGAGAACGCGATTGCAGAGTGGTGAGGAGAAGTTACTGTCTCAAATTTGTGAAGAGGTAAGAAATAATTTAGAATTTGTTGGTAGTGGATTCAGTAATGAAAAGGACATTTGTGTCATTTACACATAGACGATTGCTTACACATTCTCCATCAGGAAAAGAGTTCTGTTGTGCAGGACATAGGACCGTAGAGTACGAAAAAGGGAAACGACTGCAAAGGGTTAATACTAGTTTTTTTTATTTTGATGTAGAAATTTACTTGACGAGTTTTCTTTATCTACATACTTGACTGATTCGTAAAGATACTTTTTTGTCAAAAATCTTATTTTACCGAAATTATTTAGGGAATTTCCAGTGTATGATGTAAATTAATAAATTAGTTCTGGAAATTGTGTTGTAAATAGATTCATTTGAGTTGTGGGTATGGAAATACATCTAATAATATTAGTAGCCAAAGATGGTGTGGCAAATGCTAATGCAGAACATATGTGATGACAAAAATATGATTACAATACTGTTTTCTCAGTTATAGTTTTCGACAAAATGTGTGTAGTAAATTTGCTATTTCATAAATCTGTGTGTTTGTGTGTGTGTGTCTATATATATATATATATATATATATATATATATATATATATATATACACACACACATACTTTGTGAATAATATTGAATTTAAAAATTATCAACCTAATATTGAATTAGTATTCAATAATATTCTTTATTTTTTGGGTGCTTAAGGTAATTAATGGGTGCTTGAAGCACCTTAGAATTTTTAAAATGATCTCAAAAATGGCTCAAATTTTTTTCTTTAAATTTCTTTCTCAGAAGGGATTAAAATACATTTAAAAAATACTTTCTAAATCTATTTTGGTATCTTCTTACAAAATTTTAAAGAAAAAAATTGGAGCCAATTCAAAATTTTGAAAATTGGTTGATTTTCACTGTTAACTCTAAAGTTTGAAATTTGGTAAATTCGACCTTTTTTTTTCTGGCTTCCTACTATAACTACAATATTGAAGATACAGATTTTTATCTTTAAATGAAACTTGTTCTCCATTATTTCATTAAAGTTATGCATAATTGTTTGAAAAGTTTAGTAGTTTTCACACAATATTAACTGAAATATGTGAAAAGTGAAAAATCTTTTAAAACATTTTTGTAAAGAAAACAGCTCAGAATTTTTTCTTTAAGCTTTTGTTGGGAAAAGTGCTAAATGTACTGTAAAAGATACCAGAAACCATTTTGCTTGATTCTTATTTTTTAAATAAGTAAATAAATGTATTTATTTGTTTCGCATCAACAAGGCCATTAGTGACATATACATGGTTTAGTTTGTTTATATTACATTACAATAATACCCAATTTGTTGAAAATAGTGTTTTTCCATGAACAGGTTTCAATTGTTTATTCTATTATTAAATTCTTGTATGTATTTGAATCCCTTGATTGACTCTTCTTCGTGCTGTGTTCGATTTTCCTTTGTGATTTTGGAACACATTGTAATATATGTACTATTGAGTTTACATTTCATCAAAAAGGTCTTTTTACAAAATTCTAAAATTTGGTTTTGAAATGTAGGAGAGTGGGGAATTGAATTCAATTTCTCTCTGAAGATTTGTTTTTTGTTGTAAGAGTTTAGAACATTCTTCTTTTAAATGTTGTACATTTTTTGGAACACTACAAATAAGACAGAAGGAAGGTATATTTTAGTTAACAGATGGAGGTGGATTATTTTACAGTGACTTGTTCTTATTCTTTACATAAGTGCGTAACTTATTAATAATATTTAAGGTTATCGGCAGGCCCAACTTTCTTGTAAAGAATATTTGCTTTTTGATCTCCATGTATTATTCAACATTAAAATGAATAACCTGTTAATAAAATAAATGCCCTTAAGACATCAACTGTGTCTATGGTCAATATCATATTCAGCTGTCTGTGCATTATTAGGACAAATACTATTATATCCAGTTATTTTTTCTGTGCGGATTTGTTCCATTGTGATGGATTTCCCTGATTTGGTAATGTTGTAGTATAGTTCTTGTATGTTGATGACCATTTCAATTTTGGGACATCTCTTAGATGTATTTTATATTGCTCTATTGGATTTTGAGAAAATTGTGAATTGACCACTATTTATTTGGTTTACCAGTTTCAATGGTAACATAAGCAAACACACATTGCAGTGATTACAGTATGTAATGTGTTGCTTATGTTGCAGTATGAACAATGAGTTGATGTTTAATTGTGGTTTCTTGTGTGCTACAACAGCATAAGTTTTCTCCCTTTTTGCTCCACAACATCAGAATTCTGTGATTTCAAATGCAGTTTTCTTGAAAACTGCTCCAAATATTTTCTTTAATTTTTTTAACAGATAGTGTTAAATGTACTAAACAACAAGTCATCAATGCCAGTTTGATCTAATCTTTTATTTTTTCAAACCCTACTTAATTGTAAGTTTTTGAAGTATCTCCCCAGCCTTCAATATTTTTTCCATTATCAGTTATTTGTATTTGTGAGTACAGTTATTTCAAACAATTTGTTATGAAGTTTTTTGAAAGAGAAAAAGGTTTGAGTGGTAATGAGCTTCAAAATAATGCTCAAATGACATCTTCTCAAAAAATGGCTCCAATTTTTCAACAAAAGTTTGTGTTTGGGAAGGGGTTTTACTTTGCTGTAATATTCGCGAACGTCATGTTTTCGTTAAACATTAAAATAATTGAAAAAATTAAGTTTGGTGAGCAATACATTGCTGCTGGGAAATGAGCAAGGCATCACTGAAAACCCGACACAGATCAAAAAAATTAGAATACCAACAAGTAAAAGAACGTCTCTGCCATCCTGTAGCACCACTAATTTTCAAATATTTTTGCAATACTATTAAGAAAAGTGATTGATCTATAATTGGCAACTTTTTTACATCCTGATTTTGGTATGAGTAAGATGTAGAAAACTATTCACGTGTATGGGAAATACCGTCAAAAGATATGTTAACATTGAACATATTTAGATTTGCTAGGCGATTATAATTTTTGTGCATATTTATTTATTAATAGCGGTAGTCGAAGCTGATGTACATGTATCAAGTGTACATAACATAATCAAAATACCACTCATCCATTAAAGCTATCTGCAATTAAATCATGTCGGCAGGTGTGTTTAGGAATGTGTTACACTAATCTACAAAACACAAAAAATATATATTTCCTTAATGAAACTAGAATAAAACACTGTTTCTGGAAGATAATTCGCCTCAATCCAGGTATAATTTCAGAATTTTTGTATCAGCCGTGGTTTTCATGTGATGATCACTATTGTAAATGCATTTACTATGTAATATATGTATCTGGCAAAATGTTGGGTGTCTGCTCATCTTTGTATTGTAGAATTCCAAAAGTGTTTGATTTTTATATTTGCTGTCAGCTGATTTTCATCCACATTATAGATGGTAAGTTCAAGTCCCCAATAATTAGAATAGGTTCTTTTCTGGGATATTTATATCTCCCAGCATTTGTTTCATGACTTTCAAGACTTGTCTTATCTTTTGGATGAGGCTCAGTAGACTCTTTCACACCATACATTCTGACTGCAAGTATTCTTTTCTTCAGTTTCCTTGATTGTGTGTCTTCGTCCTTGTTAGTGCTCCCATTCTCTTTTCAGTGACAGCATTTTTATAAGATTGTCTGGTATATCAGAAGGCTACATCTAATGTGAGTTTGTTGATGACATGAACTCCTTAATACTTTTTTTAACTTAGTCTTTACCACTCATTAACTCTCTCAAAGTTCCTGTGATGATGGAGATGATTCACTGGAGGATGACAATAGAATTTGCAGTTGCATGAATCTTAAGAGGGAGTGCATATGATTTGGTATGTCACTTGTAGAGAAAATAAGTAAGAGGAGTCCCAATACTAAGTTCGGTAATTCCTCTGCTGATGTCCAGAAGAAACTGATAAATTTTCAGTTGAAGGCATGTTGTATTGGTGGAGTAAATAATAGAAAAGCATAGTGCCTTTTCAAAATTTTTGAAAATAGTAACAAAAGTCATAGATAGTGAAGGAGAATTTCTAATAACATTCATTTTTTTAGGATGGCAAAATTACTGAGTTTCTTAGAACCTGTTTTTTGAACTAAATACTACACAAGTGCTTGCTGGGGAAAGAAAAAGGTACAAGTAATTTGTGAAAGAATTCAATGTGCCAAAGAGATCTAGGAAATTTATTATCTCAAACCTGAAGAACAGAACGTCAATTGCTGTTTACCCTATTTTTCTTGTAGTTTGTTTTATTGTGGTTGTATTCTCTCTTAGACGTAGTATAGAGAAAGCTGTGAAGTTGTGTAATAATGGAAAACAAATCTCTAAATTTGATGGCATTAGACATATTGGGACTCCATGACACCAAACAAGGGGACTGTTCAGAAAACTATTTGCCTGATTTATAGAAGCTAGAGTTTTTGTTCTTGGTGTAATTGATTCTCCTGTATGAGAATGTAAAGATTCTGTAGTTTAATCAGAAGACACAAAGGCCATATGTTATTAACCACAGCATCATATTGTCTCCATTCTTTTGTGTGTTTGTTTGTAATTTGATTTTCTTTGTTTTTCCAGCTCTTTGACTTCTGCCTGGCACCAGATACTGCAAGTGATGGAACAGGATGCGACAATATGACTGCAGTCATTGTCCAATTTCTGCCCATCTTATCTGAAGCAAAATCATCTGATTTGCCTAACACTTCTATCTCCACTGCAACAAACAAGAGGCCAGCTTCCCCCACTGAAAATACAGATTCTTCTGCAAAACGGTTGAAGACAGGTGTAGTTTGAATCGGTTCTGTACTTACATCTCTTATGCGGAGATCCCATGGCAGTGTGCATCTCAGTCAAGGCAGACTATAACATTTTATGTACACTCCTCAGGAATGCAAGTAAAATGGACTATGCATTTAGAAAAACCAGTGTGTCATGTGCTCGTGTTTTTATTTATGCCTCACAAAAATAAACTGTGTGGGTGATGTTGAAAAGAGCGCATTCAGATGTGGTTTTGAATGTTCTGTGGAATAGAGAAATTACCTTACCACAAAAAAAGTCCTTATTTTAGTGTTTCAAAATATCCTTGATTAAGGATTAATTTGTTGTATGTTTATTCTTCCTGTGTTAAAGTTTGGGGGGAAATGCACTACTTATAATATTTTGACTGTTTTTCCTATTGTTTTATCACTGACCTCCCCACAGTGCACATTAATTAATTTTGTTGAAGTGGTCACCAAAACACTAAATCCAATTTTGGACAATTTTTGTTGAATAGGATAAAAAGCAACAACTGAAACAAATCTCATCAATCTGACGTATTAATTTTTCTAGCCAGTATTGTGTTACTGCGTATTTCATTCATGAACCTTTGCATTACCAGTTTGAGATTCTTCTCACAGATATGCGTCCCATTTTTGTTTGCAATCATATATTAGAACAACAGTACCTGTTAGAACTACAAAAGGTAAGGTAGGCTACTCCTGCCATTATTTTTCTTACTTGGATAAGTGTTATTTTAATGAATTTCTTTGGTTTTGGGGCCAGGCACAAGACAACATAAAATATTGAAAATAATTGGTTTTGATTCTTTCTGATTAATGTTTAAAGTACTTGTGCTGATAAAACCCCAAGTCAACAATTAATATCTGATTTTCAAATTGAAGTTTCTTGTGATTCAGTTGAGAAGTTTTTTCAGTGTTTGTGCGATTTTTAATGATTCATCATGTAACACTGTGTGTATGATTTTGAGGATGCATTGTTACAATGTCATGAATTCTCATTGCTAAATCACAATAAAGAACCAGCATTATTTTACTCTGCTGTAGAATTATTTTATTTTAGAATCCTGGAAATGCCATTCTCTTCACTGAGAATGTGAAGGAGGAGATGTAGGAGAAAGAATTTGATCTAGGAAAATGGGAGGATACTCTGTTTGACAACTGAAGGAAAGTATGGATATTCCTGAAATGAATTTTATTCCAAGTTAACATAGTAAATTCAGTTAATAAATAATAAATATGTGTATTTCATAAGTTATGAATTCCTTTAGATACTTTCATAATTTTACACTAACTTCTATTTACAGTATCTTTGTATGTAATATACTTTTTACAGGGTTTTATTTTTTAACCTTTAATATATAAAGTTCTTTATTCATTTCTACATTATATACTTACAAATAAAATGAAGCCACACCTTTTGTATTAACATAAGAAAACAGTATTAACAAATCGCACCTCCAATAGAAAAGTGACACAAGTGAGAATTTCTGATTTCTCAGAAATTGCAATTTTAAGTTTCGTAGTTCTGTAATATTCATTATAGATTGTACCAATTATTCACCTTCTAGCGGACAGTAATTGAACTAATTCAAAATCAAACTCAGAATAGTAGCAGTACCTCTTGGTAACCTCTTATCAGTTTTTAGCTGAAAAATGGCAATTTCGCACTTGTCACTTTTTCATTGGAGGTGCAAAATGTAGCGAATTACGAGCCACGCCCGGTGTCAAGATAAACTTTGTTTGGCGAACTGTAAGTACAACGAAAAGGTTTTATAAATGTGGGTTACCGTGAAAAATAGTGTTGATGGATTATCTGTTCTGCCCGAACGACTTGCTTATAAGTTTAGAAGAGGGTCTGGAATAAATGCTATTTTTACTTTCTTGCCTTCGTAAGAAAAGTGTTAAACTTATGAGGCGGAAAAATTTACTGCCAGGCTCCGGTAACGAAAAGGTGGACAAATCTTGTTCTTGATCAGGGGTGTCGCTGGGCTGATGCAACCTGTGCGTGACATTGGGGCCCCGAACGAGGACATTCCGTGGCCCCCAATAAAGATGGTATTGGCAATGAGGAGCCCTCGAGAATGTAGCTACGCCTCTGTTGCTCTATATAATAAATTACTTCCTCTAACACAACTAGTCAGAATCCACGTTTTGCGGGTCCTTGTTCCCGAAAAGTTGATTTATGGCAAAACGCGGCTAAACCATGGGCCGATTTTTTACCAAAATTAATTTTTCAAAATAGATGTTGCAGAAGTGACCCTTGGAATTTAAAACGGATAATTTTAGTTGGGGGAGGGGTACTCTACATGAACTCGTTTTCAAAATGTTTCTAAAAATAGCTCCAAAGTTGTTGTTTACTGTTCTCTTGGATAGAGCAAAAACATAAATATGACGCATGTCTCACTTTCATTAAATTCTCTGAAATTTCGAATATTGCCGAAGTTCAATTTTTTCGGCGTCTTCCCATAGCTGCGTTAGTTAATGCACAAAATTTTTGTTCGGATGAAATTTTTTCTTCATAATTAGTTCTTAAATTAAATCATATTTAAAAAAAAACACTTATTGCCTACTTTTGAGTGAAATGTGGGTCATTTAAAAAGCAAGATTACCTCAAAAATTTTTTCTCTGAACATTTTGTATAGGTGGAGCTCTTACTCATTGAATTACATGTTATAAATACCTTTTTGAAGTATTCTTTTACTTTTTCAAAAATTGCATAATGCATTTTTAAATACGTCCCTTTTTGATTTACATTACGGATGCTTTTACACTGCAATGTAACGGCTCGTGTGAGATTTCCGCCATGCGCGAGTAAAGCAAGTCCTAAGGATTGATCACCCTGAGACAAATATGTCTCTAAAATATAGATTTATCGTTGGCCGCACTTACGTCGCCAAGCATTGTGGGTTTCGATATTGGTCTCAAAATTCACTTAACGTGACTGATGGATGAATCAAAAGTCTGGCACCAGTTATTTGTGCGTCGTCGTGGAGAATTTGAAAGTAATATATAAATTGCAAAAGCCAAAAAATGTTAGAATTGTAGAGGGAAGAGTTGTGCTGAACGAAAATTTAAAAAGTTTTTAAAATATACCGCAGTTTCACCAAAGTACAAAATCAAGAAGCCAGGGAGAGGTGTCCTTGTATAGTCATTTTTTGTACGTAATGATAAGATAAAGATAAATTTATTTAATCTGCAATAGGGTAAAACCCGGTGGCAGTTAATTACACGAATAAGGTCGGCGGCGGCGATGGTGTAACGGTTAGCGTTCCGGACTGTTGTACCCAAGTTGGCGGGTTCTAACCCGATCGAAGCCGTGGATTTTTAAGGGCGAAAAAATCCTTCGGAGGGGAAGTAAAGCCGGCTGTCCCATGTTCGTAGATTTGCTTGCATGTCCTCTGGCCTTAGGCAGATCCTCAAGCCTTAATGACGCCTCTGAGCTAAATTCAAATCGCCTGTTTCTCGCCCAAAAAATACCTCCTTTCTCTCCTAGTTGGTGAAAGGAGCGTAGCGAAATTTGCGTGGTCAGACGGAAGAGCGGGCCTGATGGTCCGAGACTCGCCACGTAAAATAAGGCAAATTCAATTAAAATAAGGTAATATAATAGTAATAACATAGAAACTGATGATTCATAAAACGATGAACGAAGAAAAAAATCTTGTATAATGTACATCCGCACTAACTTACATTCAAGACTTTGCTGCACTTCACTATAACATTTATATCACTTCCTTTATTTCACTTCCGTTATTTCGCTTCTCTACATTGCACGACGCCTCGCTTCACAATATAACATTTATACAACGCTGTATAACCTACTATTCTTAGTTAAGGACCTCGTTTACGTAGGAATACTCTAAATTAATTTCCTAAACTGTTGAACGACTTGGGTTCAAAGGTTTTTAAAGGCAATTATTCCATATCGTTATGGTTCGATTCGTTAAAAAAATGTTTTGACATCCTTTCTCTGCGGTTGTTGTACCGTCTGTGTTGTACCTGGGATGCCCTCTGCTGATGTATTTACGAATAAATTCGCTGCCGATTAATTTCGTTCCAAGCTCGAATATTTATACAAAGCGCAGAGCCTTGCTATTGATCGCATGTTTACGAATGAATCCCACTGTGCCATTTTCTTGTCCAAGAAAGTAAATTGAGCTACTCTACGCTGAATCATTGCCGAACTTTTACACTGAATAATTTGGTCGGGTCCCCACAAATTTCGCGTCAATTTCATCTGCTAGATCCTGAAATAGCGTGGCAATTTGACTTTCACATGAGTAACCACTGCTGAACCCATGTTGGACTTGATAGAGCCGTTTTTTGATTTCCCATTCTAGCTTAATATATCTCGCCACAAGACACTCCATAAGTTTGCAGACCTCTGACGTAAAACTTACCGGCTTATAATTACATAATTATAAGCCATCATCACTTTCAAAAAATTGATACGTCAAATGCCAATTGCCAATCTTCAGGAACTTTTGAATTGTTTATGGACACGTAAAATATTGTGATTAGGTACGGTAATATTGCCTCTGCTCTTAGTTTAATTATAACCGTAGAAATGTATAGACACCTTTACCAGGGGCGGATCTAGCCGATAATTTGTGTGTGTATGGGGGGGGGGGTCATCGTACATTTGTTAAATAAACAGTTGTTATTTTATATATTATTTATGTTCTGTAGATATGATACTACCCAATATTATGGTTTAAACAATTAAATAATTCGAGCATAAATGAATATTTAAATCTATTTTGCCAAATTAAGGAAGACCTTTTAGGGGGGGGGGCATGGCTCCATGCCCTCCCTGGATCCGCCAGTACTTACCATTTTTCATAGATTTTTCTCTTTCCCGTAGAACGTCTACTTCAATGTTAAACTGATTTGTATCCGAAGATCTTTGAATTAGTGGATGGTTCGTACTGCTTGTGAAAATCGATCTGAAACACTTATTAAACGCATTAACTTTTGCCCGAGCGTCTGTAATGAGCACGTTTCCATTTTCACGAACAGATGTGCTCTTGATTTTCGAACATATTTATAAAATCCATCTCTACGAACATATTTATAAAATACTGTCTAGTTATTTCCCTTCCGGTGTAGGGTATTTTTTTTAAATACGCCTCCTGAGAAATTTTTTTCTCGCTTGAATTGTTTTGAACAATTTATCGTTCAAACGATTTTCTCCAAAATTGAGGTTCCCTCATCGATCTGGCCAAACACGAGGACCTGCGAGTTTGTTTTTGGGTTGTGGGGGTTCTTTACACGAAGATTTCAATTTTTCTCTCAAAGATGGCCCAAAATTTGTCCTCTGATAGAGCAAAGAAAGCTTAAAAAGTGACGCAGTATGAAGTGCTTAAAATGTGTAGGAGTATGAAGGCTGAAGAATTTGAAAGAATTCTGAGCGCGTAGCATAACGAACTCAATTTTGTGTTTTAAATGGACGTTCCATTGAGGGTTGACTGAATTGTGACCTATAAATTTTGTAACCATAACATCGGCCAATTGTACATCGCTCGATTTCAATGGAATATCTATTTTTTTATTTCAAATGGAAAACTGCGTTGAAATATTTTTTCTTCGTTTACTATTAATTTGTAATCTCGAAACCAATTTGAAATTGTCCTCTTTATTGCTCTTTTTCTGGAAATAATAAATAAATAATCATAATAAGGTTTATGTCAAGTTATTCTGTGCATTTAGCACTATCGGTAAGAAGAAAAGAATGGAATATTTTTTAAAAAAGACGTCTTTTTTAAACTATTTTTTATTTTACTAATACAATTTTTAAAAATGCACATGACAATCATTAAATAACTAATTGTAGAGAACAAAACTGAGGAGATCGCTGTCTTCGTACTTTAGTTGTAGAAATAAAGCGAAAAAATAAAAATTTTGCAATTTTCTAAAAGTTTTTCAAAATCGCAGGGCCAGAATGGTTGGAGAATACTAATTTCGGGAAAGCACCTATGAATAGTTTAGGCGCTAGTGTTGTCTTCAGACGGACGGCCATGTTGAAAAAAACACTTCTTCGGTATTAGGCGTCCCCAAAACGTATTTCCGCTCTCGAAATCGATTTTCTGCAGGATTACATAACTTTCTCTATACTACGTATATTACTCCGTGTATACATACGTAGATGAAAAAGTATACAATTATAAGCAACAAGGGAACAAATTGAAAAGAAATTTTGCAGAGGAACCGTTTTGTCTATGTCAATGAACTTAAACATTTGGGCACAAGATAATGTGCTATCAACTTAAATTGTTTGATATTTGTGATCTATTTTTCATATCATAAATTTTATACTTTAATATTTCCAATAGAAATATATATATAGTATTTTAATTCCTGAATCTTTTATGCCTCATTCTTCGAGCCTTCCCACATGGCGTAAGCCGTGAGAGGAATACGACAGCGATCCCAATTATTTTATTTTTTAGGGACTGTAAAGTTTTATAGATTCGAAGTATTTCAGAAAGAGGCCAAAGAGGTCGAAATTCGCTCTCTTTTCCGTTATCTATTTTTCCCGTAGTCCTATGGACCCACCTGCATCAAAAGTATTTTAAATGACATTTTCAGGGAATTAAAATATAATTTTATTAAAAATATTGTTGTACATGTAGAAAGTTGTCTATAGTAAAGTCAGGGTAACGAAATGACGTATAATTATACAGCATTATTTAAAAGTTATTTTATTACGTGATTACCATCAGTTGCTACAGCAGCGCCACCATACTCAGCGGCGAGTCCTAGTACGACATTTGCGTAGTTTCTGTCAGTTCACCGAAGGGCGAGGTCTTCACTGTGTTCCACACTCGCACATCTGGCGGCGTGGACATCTAGGCCCATTTCTGCCTTACATTTAAAGTGTCTATTGATGCGAAGTATTTCAAAGCCGTAAGTAATGAATTAAAAGAGTGCGATATTATAAGTATTGAGTTATGTGTAACGAAAAAGAAAAACTAAGAAGTATCCGTGCTCGTGTTCTTGACCCCTCATTTCGCTAGATATAGCCATAGTTCGTTTTTATTTGTAATGCAGTTTCTATTTCACGAGAGCGCACGTTTCTGGTAATTAGGTTTTATCAACACTCGTTGCCAACATTTATTCCTAACTCAACTAATCGTAGAAAAGGAGTGAGGGCAGGTATTCCGGGGCTCAAGAAAACGTGCTCGTATAAATACCACGCGAAACTTGAGATTGGATGCGCATAAGAACGTGGAATAAAAGGTTTCTTTTTTCATCTCGATTGTCTGAAGTCAAACTACTTAATCGAAAGCAATGTTCTAATAATCTCTGGCCCCCTTTTAGAAACTAAAATGAGTTTTGTAATAAGTGAGCAAATGCTGATATGGCCCTTTGTTTTGCTTCTAGACATAATGTAACTTCATTATCCGTGCACGTCTTCTAGAATTCAATGGGAAATGTAGTTATTCAAATTGTCGTTCTCCATGTTGTCTAGGCAGGAAGTTTTTTCTTTTTAGGAAGACCACACTCATTTTTCTGTATTCGAAATTCAACTAGTATATGGCTTAGGGTAGGGGATCACAGAATAATGAAAACGTGTACAGAATTCACGGCTGAAGTCTAGTATATGGTACAACTTACGGGAGTCTTTTAAACCGGCATTTCGCGCCGCTCCGGCGATAACTGCGCAGTTTGAATTTTAGAAGCTTTCTTGAAAAGTGCTTTCTTATAAAAGTGAATTGGTTATTATGCGGTATTTAGGCTCAAGGATGTTTATAGTGAACACGAGGACAGAAGGTCCGAGCCTCGCCGTGACTTGGATCCGGGCGAGCGAAGCGAGAAAAGTTGCCTTTGTAAGTAAATTTGCATTACAACGCGGCGGGAACAAAGCCTTTGAAGGGCAAGACATGAAAATCGCATATCTGCAAGTTTTATTCATTTCTATCCAAGCGCGTAGTGTAATTTGAAGGAGAGCTTAAGGAGACCCCGCCGCCACGCTCTTCTGGGGGTGTACCGTGTACCCTAGTTTCACCCCGAATTCACTTCTCCCCGTAGCTCGTCAAACAGTTTTTAACTGTCTTTGACGTAAAATAAAAAATAGTGTTTGAACTTAGAAATAATATAGATTTCTTATAGTAATAGAATTATAGTGATTACTTGAACAGAAAAATTCTAGTAATTCATTAAATGAGATGGTTACTAACGCAGTTAAAAATATTGATTTACATATGACAATGGTGCATTCAAATATGCTACTTGTAGCCAAGAGTTAACTTTTTGTAAAGGACATTAGGTTTCTTTTAACCTCGTCGCTGGAGAATATAACATAAAGTACGAAAGGCGAGCGGCAACACAAGTTTGCTGGGACAGTCAACGTCGCATGGCTGACGGAAATTTCAAAGCAGTCGGTTCAATGCCTGTAATGGTTTTTGTTAGTTCTCCTGCATGTAGTACATGCAGGAGATCTCGTTGAACAAGACCCTGCAGATTAAACATTAAAATACTATTCGTACTTTTTTCTGGCCGCTCTTTTTGTACTTGGGCTGGTTTACGGAATTCTCTCGTACCGTAGTATGTTAAAAAGTGCTTAATTTTTTAATCATTTTTCTTTACCATGCTTACTGCGTACTGAGGTCTGTACTGCGTTCTGAGGTTTATTAATATGTGATTACATGTACTAAGCTTCCCTATGGAAATGCTATAAACAATCTTACTTCTACGATGCTTACTTCTACAAAAGGATCTGCAGTTTACTGTGATGAAACAAGTTTTGAAGGAATGAATAAATACAACTGATTAAATCTTGATTGTTTTGTTTTCGATGAAAATGCTACTGATATTGCTTTTCCTCTTTTTGAAAAAAAATTCAACTCTTTGGTTTTGGGAACTTAATGAACATTAGCGAATACATACCACATTCTATACGGAGAGGTTTATTTTTGTTCTTGTATTTAGTACAGTAAGCTTTTTATACTTCGAGAAATATACCCCGGATGTTTAATCAAGCGCGAAAACGATTTTGAGCCATTTCATATCGTATGTTACCATTTCTATCGAGTTGTTTTGGTTTGTTGAACATCCTCAGCCCCTTTGCATTGGAGCATGGACGTTTACATACAGCAAGCAATGAAAAATTGTGAGGGGTGATGTATATTATTTGTTATTAAGTGAACTAAGCCTTAGAGCTTATTTAATTTTTTTGTATTTTGATGCTGTTACAGAAACAAATTATATAATTACGTACGTATAGGAGAAAGTAAAAAAATCAGTCAATACATCAAAAATGTTACTCTAGAAAACGAAATGTATTTTCTCCCCTGATGTTCAACACTTAAGCGCAAACTGCATCCCTATACCTCAAATTGCTTTGAAGGTATTCGCCCTGGCGAACATTGGTGGTCCCTCCTGCACATGAACTGGAGGAATCAATACATTCGCAAGGCTCAAGTATTTATCAACGCAGACGCGGACGACTGAAGGAAAAGTTAAACGCTGAGAAGTCAGCGCAATTGTACGTATGCGAGTATTTATGCAATGTGTATGTATTTGCATATATGCAGTAAGTATATAATGTGAATAGATTCGTCGGAATTCAGTGATAGAACACTACAATTAATTAAAATCATAATTCTATTATGAATTTTCCAGGCTAATACTGTACAATACATGGGGTGTACCTCTTTTGTACTCGCTCGAATGTATTTGTTTCGGCGAATATGTGGTCTTTCCTAGACATGAATCTTTCCTAGACTGGAGGAATCGTCATAGTAGATTGGCTCAAGCATTTGTCTTCACAGATACGGGCGACTGAAGGGCAAAGAAAATGCTTAGAAGTCGGCGTATACGAGGATTTATGAAATTTGTGTTTGAATGTATGCAGTAAGTATACTAAGTGAATACATTCTTCACATTTTAGAAGTAGAACACTACAATTAATAATTAGTGATAATATTTTTTTAAATGAATTTTCCAGGCTTAGTTCTGTACACTTCATTCCTAAATAGAACACTCGATCAGCTGTTGTCAATGGAAGTACTTCGCTCTTGTTCGAATTTATAAGAAGTTATTTCATTCTTATTTTTAATAAGCGAACTTAAAATTTGATTATTCTGTAGAAAGATTTGTAGAATAATTTTGACATCATTCTGTATTTTTCAGGCTGCTTACTGGTCATGAGCGACGCTACGCATTCGAACAAAAAAGGATTCAGATGATCGACGCGTAACACATTATTGTTATTGTTGGTTATTGTTATTGTTGGTTATTGTTATTGTTGGTTATTGTTATTGTTGGTTATTGTTGTTGTTATTGTTTACTATTTCATTATCATCATAACTGCCCAACAAATCAATTAGGACATTAAACTCAAAGTATGTTATTGTGTTCATATTCTTCCCACCTATTTAAACTAAGTGTAACCTACTAGTTTAAACAAAATGTTACGCTGCGTACTAAAACTCATAGATGAACGTCAATTCTAAAACTACAATAGGATTAATCAGTGTAATTTTTTTTTCCAGACGGATTGCTTGCGTGTTCTCTAGAACAGTGGAAGCACATTCCTTTGGCAACTACTTTGGAGTGTGGGTGGCTACGTTGCATCTCCAATGCAATCTGGTACTTTTAATGCGGGATAACACAACTAGCTCTGAGACACACCTAACATTTTTTCTATTTTCACCACTAAAGTATAGTTGTGCTAATTTATTTTACTCTTTTTCGAGGAACAAGGGAGCATCTGACCTCAGCAACTCATTACAGGGCTTGACATGCTGTGCATTCGATGCTGTGTGTCTTGAATACGTGTACGATATGCTTTGTGACTCTTTAATAATACAATTGATTACAATCCTACTCAGTAATGAGAATTTTATTTTTTAGATAGTTTGTTCTACTTGTAAGAAGTGGGCCGCAGAAATACAGCAGAAAGCTGGAAATACGGAGCGTGCGCAGGTGAGTTGTGATTTGAGTATTGGTTTGTTATTTACTCATGTGATTTATATAATATTGCTTTTACAAATTGAGCCATCAATAAATCATTTGCTTACATTTGCCTTAATTTTGGAACAATAAAGTAACAAACTGAATAAGAAACTAATGTTAATAAATCGTACTTATCAAATTTGAATTTCTGTAATTTGAATAACAAAATCACACCAAACCGCGTCCCACACAAGTCTACAATACACAGAATATAGAAACAAATCGCTTCTCGTGGGCCTACCCATGGAGCTATGAATATATGGCTTCATGGGCCTACCCGTGCTCACGTCACAAAATTGGCGCCTGGCTTTGTATTACAGAGAGCGCTGGGTGCGGCCGTCGTGATGTTGCAGGCTCGCACCCCACTTACTTTTTCCCCTCTGACGGCGTCGATATCTGTTTCTGTCTCCTATTTTCCTTCGACTCCAAGTTTGCTACTGGATCTGAAAGGGAACGCTGAAGAAAACTAAATCAAAGCCGTAAGTAATGCGTACAAAATATCTATATTATATTAATTTGTTAGTAAAGAAAAATTCATAGCAAAACACCCCGCAAACGGGTACATATAACACGCTGCAATTCCTGAGGAGAGCTTGTAGAAAACAATATTTGAAATCCACTAAGTTTCCCCCCCCCCTCTTCGATTGTCTAAAGTCACACTTTACATATATAACAGATTAGTGTTCAAATATTCCATGGCCCACTAGTAGAAACGATAAGATTCCTAATAAGTGTTTTTTAACTTAGAAATTATGTGTATTTCTTATTGCATTAGATATTATAAACAATGTAAGATATTCGTATCATACTTGACTAATTATCAAACTCGTTCTAATAGTTTTGTTTGACAATTCTCTAAGATTTTGTAGTGAAATGTGTACTTATTTTTAAAATAACAATTACAGCTTTTGTTTCTTTCTTCATTTTTTAGAAGAAATTCATTATTTTACTTGCAGTGGATTCAAATAAATTGATAGTAATATTGTTTTCTTAGCTTGAAACATTACTATTAAATAAACAAGATAACAGACGTAAATATAATCCTCAAAATAGTTTTATTTATATATTTATGAATATTTTGGAGGGATAAGAAGAGTATTTCTGCAATTTGATCCGAAAGTGTATGCAGTATTGGAAATTTCCTTTTAGTTAACTTTGCAGCGACGATCATAATTCGCAGTATTGGAGGAAATTGCCTTAAAATGAATAATTCTGCGAATTTTTATCGTCGCTGAACAGTGAAATCGTATTTTCTGCACTTTCCTACCCTTGATGTGCGTTACCTTCATGTGTATTGAGATGATTCACGACAAACCGTCGTTAACGACTTTCTCTAGGTGGGTAAGATGCTCAATTACGTATTAATTTTCAATGGTACACTTACACATACGGTACACATACACTTAACCTAAGACAATATGGTTAGATTCAGACTTGCGATTCGATTTAAAAGTTGGGTCTTACCGATCTTGCTCAATATCACTAATCGAATCTCGACGCCCCGGGGTCAGAATAAAAGCGAAGAACAGTTGGCCACAATTAGAGCATTCTTGTTCTGTTGGTTAAATATGCGTGATTAAATATGATGTATAATTTAGAGACAAACGGCTTCTTTAATTTAACGCAATTTTTTAGGTAAGAGAAAGTATTGAAATGGTGCCACGGAAAAAATCGAATTCTTGATAGAAAACTGAAATTGCCGGGTCCTGGTAATTAAACAATGGATTAACTTTGTTCCTTTATATGATACATTACTTTCTGTTACAATGTGTAGTCGGATTTAATGTTTCGTGGGTCCTTGGTACATCTGAAACTTGCAAAATTTCAAACTTTTTATCGGCGTCTTGTTACAACTACCACATTAAAAATAGATTTTTACTTTTTCGTATACATACGTATATACCGAGTAATAAACGTAGTGTAGGGAAAGTTTAGTAATGCTCCGTAAAAAACGACCGATGTTCATTGCCGGGTCCTCATAACGAAAAAGTGACGAATCCTGAAACGAATCAAGTTGCTAAATTAAGGGGGGGGGGGAATTCTCTAACACGTGATGCCCCCAGAATTCCTGTTTTGTGGATCTTTGGTGCCAAAAAATTTATTGACGGTAAAACCTTAGCATTGACATTATTAGCTCTTAAACAATCCGTAGGATTCTTTCAAAATGGAAGACACCCTTATCTATTTGGCTCGAGTCGAAATTTTGAGATTTTGAAAAACAATTTTTAAAAATTGGGGGTTTTTACATAAAGCCCTCCGGGCTTTTTCAGTTTTCTCAAACGGCTCGAAATTCTGTCTTTTAACTTTTGATAGGGATGGTGCTAAATGTACTGTTATAAGATGACATAAACGCCTTATTATTTAATTCTTTTGCTCTTTTTAAAAAATACAAAAATTTAATTTATTTGACGCCTCTCACGTCCTTAATATTTGTTAGTAGCGATTTTTTTACATTATATTGAGTAAATCTGCCTTAAGTAATAACGCCTAAAGTTTCTCCGTTTTCTGTGAAAATGAGCTCAAATTTTCGCATTTTCACAAAAGCTCCAACGCTTTTTTCTCAAAACAGCCTCAAATTTTGTTGGTAAACATTTCGATGTGATCGTGCTAATTGCACTGTTTAATATGACGTAAAGATATTTTTGGGGTATTTTTTGTTCCTCCAAAATTTTTCAAATGTAATATTTTGGAAGAACTCTTACGCCTTTAATATGCACATTTTCACCAATATGTAAAAATTATTAGCGAGTTAATGTGCGTTAAATGACTTCTAATAAAGGTTTTCGAATACTAAAAAAAGTAATGTGAACTTCAAATTCTGAATTTACAGTAGAGCTTAAAAGCCATTTTCATAAAAAAACGGCTACAAAATAATCAAACAAATGTTCTTTAGAACGAGGTTTTACTGTTATTTAATATTCTTAAAATATTTTCTTTCTACTATTAGCAAACAGAAAAACTGAGAAAATGTCATGAAATTGTACTTCGGGCGACGACAGATGGTAGCAAGAGATCGTGGCAAATCCGAATAGCTTGCTAACACCAAAGGAAACAGAAAATTAATACATGAAAGTTTGTGTCATTTGTACCACCAAATGTTTATCATCTAAATCTGGTTTTAAAAGACAGGAATTTATAGGGTAATGAATAGTTTTAAGAAATTTTTTTGGCGAAATTTAGTTTGAAAGTAAGGAAATAAAAAAAAACCTAAAAAGTACCATATTTTTTTCTCCATATAGAGCATTCTCTCCCTGCATCTCCATGTCTCTCTCTCTCTCTCTCTGCATCTCCCTTTCTCTCTCTCTCTGCATCTCCCTTTCTCTCTCTCTCTGCAGACCGCGCACCCGGAAAAGGGGGGAGATGAAATACAAGGGATGAGGAGAGAGACAACACCCAACCAGGGAAAAGAGAAAAGAGAGAGAAAGACCAAGACCAACACACCACAGGGAAAAGGAGAGAGAGAAGAGGACAGACACCACACAACAGAAGAAGGAAAGAAAAGACCCACACACAGGAGGAGAGAAGAGACCACAAACAGGAAAGAAAGAGAGAGAACACAACACAGGGAAAGAAGAGAGAAGAACACACACACACGGGAGAGAGAGACACACACACAGGAGAGAAAAGAAAGACACCACCACAGGAGGAGAGAAGACACACACAGGATAGAGAGAGACACACACAGGTGAGAGAGAAGCGACACAAACACAGGAGAAGAGAGAAGAACACAACACAGAGAAAGAGAGAGACAAACACACAGGGGAGAGAGAGAGACAACACACAGGGAGAGAGAAGAGACAACACACAGGGAGAGAGAGAGACACACAACAGGAGAGAGAGAAGACAACACATCACAGGGAGAGAAGAGAGACAACAACACACAGGAGAGAAGAGAGACCACACACACAGGGAGAGGAGAGAACACACACACAGGGAGGAGAGCGACACCACCACCAACAGGGAGAGAGAGAGACACCACACAAGGGAGAGAGAGAGACCACACACAGGGAAAGAGAGAGACACACACAAGGAGAGAGAGCGACACACACACAGGGAGAGAGAGAGACACACACACAGGAGAGGAGAGACACACACACAGGAGAGAGAGGAGACCACACACAGGGGAGCAGAGAAGAGACACACCAACAGGGAGAGAGAGAGATCAACACACAGGGAGAGAGAGAGACAGACACCAGGGAAGAGAGAGAGACACACCACACAGGGAGAAAGAGAGAGAGACACACACAGGGAGAGGAGAGACACAACACACAGGAGAGAGAGAGACACACACAAGGAGAAGAGAGAGACCAACACACAGGGAGAGAGAAGAGACACACAACAGGGAGAGAGAGAGACACACACAGGGTAGAGAGAGAGCACACACACAGGGAGAGAAAAGAGACCACACAGGGAGAGAGAAGAGAGACACACACATGAGAGATGGAAGAGACCACAAGAGGGAAGAGAGAGACACACACAGGGAAGAGAGAGAGACACACACAGGGAAGAGAGAGACACACACAGGGAGAAGAACACACACAGGAGAGAGACACACACGGGAAAGAGACAACACACAGGGAGGAAGACAGCACATCAGGAGAGGAGACACACACAGAGAGAGACACACAGTTACAGAGAGAGACACATCACAGGAGAGAGACACAACAGGAGAGAGCCACACAAGGGAGAGAGACACCACACAGGGAAGAGACAACACACACAGGAGAGAGCACCACACAGGAGAGAGCACAACACAGGCGAGAGACACAGAGAGGAGCCAAAAGCCCCACAGCCTCACCTAACGAAGTAATGCCTACAGGGCAATTCGCATATGGGGTTAAGGATTAGGGTTTAGGGGTATTACTACGTATATCCACCGCGAAATCGACCCGGAATGAGCGAGTCGGTGCAGATGCGCGTAACTGCAATTTTCCCGAGACGCAAGAGAGAGAGAGAGAGAGACGTCAGAGAGAGAAGAGAGAGAGACGCAGAGAGAGAGAGAGACGCAGAAGAGAGAAGAGAGAGAGAGAGACGCATAAGAAGAGAGAGAGAGACGGCAGAAGAGAGAGTAAGAGAGTAGAGACGCAGAGAGAGGAGAGAGAGAAAGCCGCAGAGAGGAGAGAGAGAGAGAGACGCAAGAGAAAGAGAGAGAGAGAGACAGACGCAGAGAGAGAGAGAGAGAGAGAGACAGACGCAGAGCGAGAGAGAGAGAGAGAAGAGACGCCGAGAGAGGAGAGAGAGAGAGAGACGCAGAGAGAGGAGAGAGAGAGAGAGACGCCCAAGAGAAGAGAAGAGAGAGAAGAGAGACGGCAGAGAGAGTAGGAAGAGAGAGAACGCAGAGAGAGCGAGAGAGAGAGACGCAGAGAGAGAGAGAGAAGACGAAGAGAGAGAGAGAGAGAGACGCAGAGCGAGAAGAGAGAGAAGACGCAGAGAGAAGAGAGGGAGACCGAGAGAGAGAGAGAAAGAGAGAGACGCAGAGAG